GTGAAAATTGGCCGGCCATTTGGCTGGAAGGACTAAATGTGTTAACAATTGCATAGTTATAGGACTAAATTGAGAGTTTTGAAAGTCAAGTACTCAAATTAACAACACCTCAATAGTCACAGGACCAAAAGTGCAATTAATTCTATGTATTAATTAAAGTGCGGAGCTACTATATTTCACAAAGAAAATTTGTAAAACTTAGTCTACAAAGGAGCCAATGTTAGGCACCAAAGATCAATCTGAGTAAGAGATCAAGTACTTTTGGAGAAAAAAAATATTTGTAAGTGTTGCATTGTGGGGGTAGTTAACTCCTTATATTTATTATAAGTCTCTCTGTAGTACTGCGAGTAATGGTAAAAGAGAATGTTTCATGTTGAACATGAAAATCTCGAACTAATTATTTGTGAGTAAATAAAGTACTCGTCAAAGTTTACGTAAGTTTGATCGAGATGATCAACTTACTTTAATAGAGAGACTAATTATGAGGTTAGTCGTTGAATTATTGATGGAATGGCTTAAAGCCCAAGAGGTGATGAATTCGTGGTGGATCCCACTTTTGTGGTCAAACGAAGCCATGGAAAGAATCACAAAGTAGTACACTCATTCATATGATGTGTGTACTGGTGAGGTTGAGCTACAACTCTTAATGAATTTATAAGCCTATGAGATGGGTGGTCCTATTGAGAAGGACTTAATGAATTCACCGCTTAATGATTCATACCCTAATTTGGGTAGTCTATATTGAGATAGACTTAATGAGATCACCTACTTGAGTGAAAATGGTTAGCCGCCTTTTATGAAAGATAATGGGCTATCTTTCTAGAGCACTCATGAGCAACCCGAAGTTAAGTTGGGCTAAATATATATGTAGTTTTTCGCGGAACTTACACAAGATCTAAGGTTTGATGCGTGTCACTATGGTTTAAACCTCTAGTCTAAGAGTTAAAGATTCGTTCACTCACTAGATAAGAGGATACAATGTACCACTGTGTGCCAGTTCAAGATTCGTTCACTAGCAGTTAATGTCAATCCTTTATACTTCTCAGAGTTTTCCTTATAATTCTCTTGCATTTGTGGGGGATTGTTGGGAAAATGCAAGTCTATGGATAATATTAGTGGTCCTCTTTACCCTGGTGATTTAGTCTTGATTAATATTCACCACAAGTTTTGTGATATAACAATTGCAATCGTTATGTTGTGCATCCGTATGCACCGTGTATGGTGTATACGGATGCAAAAATGACATCGTTTTGACGTTTAACTTTAAAAAAAAAAAAATCAGAATTGCATAACTACACATCCATAATTTCATAACTATACATCCAAAATTACATAACTACACATCCATCATTTCATAACTATAAATCCAGAATTGCATAACTACACATCCATAACTTCATAACTATACATCCAAAATTGCATAACTATACATCCATAACTTCATAACTATAAAATCCAGAATTGTATAACTACACTATGCATAATTACACATCCATAATTTCAGAACTACAAATCCAGAATTGCATACCTACACATCCATAATTTCATAACTAAAAATTCAGAATGAATGAATTAAAAAATGAACATATAATATTATTGCTGAGAATCGAAACTAATTTTTCTTTTTTTAAGTAAGACACGCGTTTTGATGCAAAACGATGTCGTTTTTGCATCCGTATGCATCATATACGGATATCATATACGGATGCACGACATAATTTGCCTAACAATTGGACTTGGGCAACCAAAATACTAATTCAATTAAATTGTAAGTCCGGCCCAATAAAGTATGAACGTGTAACTTGTGGCCTATATTTATTCTAATCTAATCAACCATTTCCCACCACAAAAAATACCTGAAAATAACTGTCAGCACAACATAAATCTCCCCAAAATATCATTAAAATTTTGTTCAAGAAACAAGAAAGAAGTGAATTTCAAGAAAAACCCAAACCACAGGCTGCACAGCATATACATACAACTCTGATGACTCTACTCAAAACACCACAACGATAACAACGGCCATGGCTGCTGCAGTTTCCCCTGGTGGGGTTGGACTCCACACTCTCAAGAACCCAGTCATCAAACCCTCATCTCTCTCTTCATTTCTTGGCAAAAAACTCGCACCCAGATTCAAACCCTTCAGTTTCTCCCCAAGGCCGGCTTCAAGATCAAGAAATAATCTTGTGGTTTTCGCGGTTGGAGGCGAAAGCTTCAGCTTTCTACACGATGTATTTCTGGGCGTTGGGGTTGGGCTTCCCTGCACGGTTATGCAGTGTGGGGACATAATATACAGGAGCACTCTGCCCAAATCCACTGGGCTCACAATCACTGTCCCTGGGGTGATTTTAGCTTTGGGAACTCTGTCTTACCTCTGGGCTACCCCTGGTGTGGCCCCTGGGTTCTTTGATATGTTTGTTCTTGCCTTTATTGAAAGACTATATAGACCTAGCTTTAAGAAGGTTTGTGGTTGGGTTTATAATGTCTTGATTATGCTTTTGATGTTGAATTTTTGCTTTGGGTTGATGTGATTTTATTGTGTTCTGTATTGGCAGGATGATATTGTGTTGGGGAAGAAGTTGGGAGAGGGATCTTTTGGCTCCGTTTATAGAGTTTCCTTGGCAAACAAGCCCTCAAAGCCCAAGGTTTGTTTCACAAAATCCTCTTTCAACTTCAAAATACAATTGTTAGACCATGGACCAGGTTCATCTTGCATTGTAGTCTCAAAATTAAGTGTCTTTCGTATGATATATTCTGTACTTGCAGTTAATGTCTATAAATAAATTGAAGCCATGGTAACTACATCAGATAATGGCCCTATTTGGTAAATGACTGTTAGCTGTTAGCTGAATGGGTTAATTAGAGGGTATAACTAGTTGATAATATTAGCTGATTGTAGAAGGTGTTTGGTAAATTAGCTGTTAGCTGTTAGCTGTTTGGTATAATTTCTTTTCTCAAAAAGCTAATTGAAAAAACTGCTTTGAGTAGCTTTTTGAATTTTAGCATATTGGAGTTGATTTTTTAACCAAGTCAAATAATTAATAGTGGTCAAATAGGCTGATGGGCTAATATTTTACAAAACAGGGCCAATATGTTAACAATATATTATTTGACTATCATTAACATATTCTATACCTACAGTTAACATGTTATGTGCATTCAGCACATAAATTGTTAACTGCAAACACATGATCTCAAAGTTATTTTGGACCAGGATTCACAATGCAAGATCGACCCTGGTCTGTGGTATAATTTGCCTTCAAAATATGAAGAATATATTTCAAGCTTTTCTAGTAACATGTTTTATGCTTGAACTACCAACTAAATGATGTAACTTATTTGGAGTGTAATTATTTAGGAACTGGTCCTTCTATGGGCTATTTCGCTCTGTTTATAGTAGACTGAATCATGAACTTTGCCTATTTCATATATGTGTTATGTTTAAATGCATAAAAATTCATGTGAGTTTGATCATGAAGTTCGAGTGATTTGTTTCTTTTTAAGGAACTTTATGCATTCATATACGTTTTATGTTTAAATGCATAAAAGTTCATGTGAGTTTGATCACGAAGCTCTAGTGATTGGTTTCTTTAAGGATGGTGATTTAGTCCTGAAAAAGGCAACTGAATATGGAGCTGTAGAAATATGGATGAATGAACGGGCGCGAAGGGCCTGTGCAAATAGTTGTGCTGATTTTCTATACGGGTTTCTTGAGGTATTTTTCCCACACTGCTATTTCTTTCATATTTTACAGACCAGAGAGTGGTTCCCCAACAATTTTTTTTTTTTTTTTTTTTTTTTTTAATAGCCGAACAGCTAATTTACACCATTTTTGTCTAGAGTTCTTCCAAAAAAGGAGCAGAGTATTGGCTTATATGGCGCTTTGAAGGGGAATCCACACTTGCTGATTTTATGCAGAGTAAAGAATTTCCGTACAATGTTAGTAATTCCTTTATTCTGTGTTTTGTTGATCTTCGATTCA